GGTCTAAGTTCTAATTAGAGAAGCACTGACCAGAGATCGTGCAACACTTGAGATTTTCACTAAATTCCCACGTTGAAAGTACCATAAAGCTGGATTTCTGAAGCAAGTATTTTATTTGGATTAAATTTGACTCAAGCTGGTCAGCATCAATCCTAAACTTGACCAGTTCAAAGAGCAACCACTTAGAAAAATTACAATGTATGGCCTCAATGCATAGTTACAAGATACGACTTAGTAATGATGTTAGTTATAGTTTGTTTCAGGAAAATAACATTGTTATTAGTAATATGAGCTTCGTCCTTTGATACCAGAATCAGGGTAATATTTAACCTACTTTTAACATACACACACGCACAACACACACACACACACACACACACACACACACACACACACATCATGAGCATCCTTTTCTGAAATACTTTAAAGAGATGATGCACTTGGGCTTAGGGAGAAAAAAAATGCAAGGATAGAAAACGTCAATATTTAGCTTTATACTCAATGTTAACCCCTTAAACTAATGATAGTCAATTTTCTCTTGGTGGACATTAATCAGTCTCTCAGAAGTTACCCATGATATGAAAGCATTATAGAGCATTAAGCCTTAAAGAAGTCATTAAAATCATCTCTAGTCCAATTTTCTCTCTTGACAAATGATATCCCAAGGCCAGCCTAAATTCAGACAGATACATATGAAAAGCAATGGAGTTAAGTCCAGGTCTTCAACTCCCAGTCCAGTGCTCTCTCTCACCCTGCACTAACCAGGGTGGGGAGAAAATATTTATTCAAAGGAATGACAGCTGAGTCATGATTAATACTGTACAACTAAGAGCAATCTCAGTGATGGGAGTAAAGATGCATTTTTCTGCTATTCTGCACATTTCTAAATTAGCCCAAGTTATATTGGCTACAATAAATTTCGTTTAAAATTGATTGAGCAAAGCTTTCATGGTAGTCTACCTAATTAAAAAATACATTTGAAAAGATAACAATTCTATACTTGGATTGAGATTTTTTAGAGAGTTCACAAAAATATCTTATTTGAGAAATATTTGTAGCAAGTCTTGGAATTCAGTTAAAATTTCATTATGGTAGCATTATTGTGCTTTTTTATTTTTAGATTTAGGACACATTTGTGAGAGAGGGAGGGTATGTGTGTGTGAGTGTGTGTGTGTGTGTGTGTGTGTGTGTGTGTGTGTGTGATGATAGCTCAGAATTGATCATTCATATAGTTTAGGTTCTCACATTATGTAAATCTTGTGGCCAGACATGTGGTAGCAATGCCTGGTGATATAGTGGCCTTTCCTTTTGGCTTGTTCAATCAGTTGAACTGGCTGTCATAACCCTATAACCTAGCCAACCCCTTATTATTTCAGAGAAAATTCTGACTTAGTTTTAATATTCAATTAGTGGTTGTGATGGATAATTTTAAGTATCAACTTGACTGGGCCATGGAGTACTCAGATATGTGCTCAGACATTATTTCAGATGTTAGTGTTATTTCAAGTATTTTTGGATGAGATAAACATTTTAATTTCCAGACTAAGGAAAGCAGATTTTCCTTCCTAATGTGGGTGGACCTCATTCAATCACTTGAAGGTCTCAGTAGAATTTAAAAGGTTAACCTTCCTCCAAGTAGGAGAATTCTTCCTTCCTGACAACCTTCAAACTGAGACATGAGCTTTTTGCTGTCCTTGATTCTAATGGAGATATCAGCTCTATTCTTGAGAATTACCAACCTCAACAATCATGTGAGCCAACTCATTATTTCTCCTAATGATTCTGTTTCTCTGAAGAAGCCTATATATATATATATATATATATATATATATATATATAATATTTTCTCCAAATTTTCCAAAATGTGAAAGGTAGTTTTTGAATGACAAGTTTGAAAATTAAGCAGTAAGACAAATTTCTAGCTTGTCATGAGAAATAAAATTATTAGCCTATAAATTTTAGCAGAACAGATTAATTTAAGCAAAAATATACAATGGAGATAGTTCATTGACTCATGTAATAAGATAGGCAAGAAGAATGCTTAAGAAGCAAAAATTAGGGACAAAATAGTACATTTACTAAAATACAGTAGTTGAAATTTGAACTGTCAAATAATTAGAAGATAAAGTCAAGTAAATCCCCAGGAAAGTAAAATAAGAACAAAGAATTATCAATTAAGAGATGAAATATATCTAGACTGCTTCCCTCTTTCTTCGTCTCCCCTGCTTTGTCCACATAAACCTTATGCATTATCTATACTCAATTCAAAGTCCCAAAGTCATCCTGAACTCATCGCCACCACCACCACCTTTCCAATTCCCCTCAGAATGGACTAGATGTCTCTCTCTTTCCACACTAGCCTGCTTATGCCTTGGCTAAGCCACTTGGTGCTATTCTACAATGATCTTTCCTCAGATGAAGATTATGAGGACAGAGAATGTGTCTTATTCACCTTTGTATCACCAGCATCTATCACCATGCCTAGTACACAGTAGACACATAATAAATGCAACATAATCTTCATTTGAAAATATGGAGAGTAATGCCAAGCCTATGAGTGCTATTATGAGGGTTAAAGATAATGCCAGGAAGCACCCAGCACAGATTTTGGTCCATATAATAAGTGCTCAACAAATTGAAATGAACAGTGTGGTCATGTTACTGGAACTGGTAGTGATTGCAAAATTGAACACAGAAAAGGGATGATTTAATGGGATGTGGTAATAGTAGTAGTAAGTGCTACTAGTATCTGCTAGTAGTAACTGCGCTAATTGGAGAGACAGATATGGAAAAGGAATAAAAGTAGTAGTTATCAGGGGGTCAGCATATTTCATAAGGGGGGACATCCATTAGAGAGATACATAATAAAAGGAGGAAGGTTATCCCTGATGTCTGCCTTTCTTGTGCCTTTGGACCTGCTACTTGCAGATACATGTTATGTTTCGGTTTCCTATTATTTACATCCTACCTACCAAAGCCTCTGCTACCTCTCTAAAGTCTGTGATGAGAAATCTTGCTTTTATTGTGACATTATAGTAGAAAAACCTTAGGAAGCAGTGTTTATTACCAGTGTGAATCTTTACCAAGTAGCTATACGTCTGTTCTATTTCCACTCACACCAACTCTTGGTGCTGGTTCACCCCTCACAGTTTGCTTTGTCCCCAAACATATAACCAGGTCATTTATAGCTAAATCTTGACTTACAACATCTTGAGTCTTAGTATATCAGAGAAGATGCCTACTTCAAGTATAATAATGCACTTGTCACTTTATAAACTGTCTGTTCATAAAATAGGGACAATGATCTTAGAGAAGACAGTAAGGGAGTTAAAAAGTTAAAACTTTTGGGGGGAAGTGTTCATTTCAATTCAACAGTATCTATTCAATTTCCATTGTCTACTGGGTACTCCACTAGATGCTACATAGGATACTAAGATAAATCTGACAATTCTGATTCTCAAACCACTTAAAATTGTGTTAAATAAAATGAAGTTCAAGCATTTTCTTTAAAAAAACCTGACTTCCAAAACTCATGTCTTAGCTTAATAGCTGTTCTGATGTGTTGTTATTTAACATAAGTAACTCAGCATAAGCAGCAAGAAAACTTTCCCAATTGTACAGAGACTTTTAAGCCCTAGAGAAAAGCAGCACTTTGAGGAATAATACTTTATTTATTCAAAAGTACCTAGCCATTTGTCACTTATGTGTGGCATGTACATTCTTCCTTACTTATAAATTTGTGTACAGATAGGCTGGAATCCCTGAATAAGCGTACACAACTTTCTAACAGGTATTTGTCTTCAGAAGTCCTCCTTAGCACATATTAATAATGACAGAAATTTCACTACTTCATAACTATCTCAGATAAGACCAGTTGTCCTCTTTACCTCTTTAATTCTTCTCCTCTAACTTGCCAAATTAACAAGTTGAATTCTTTTGAAATTCCACATGTATGCCTCTAATATTTGTGCCTGCAATGCTAGCCCTACTGTTATTTCTAGGCCAACCTTTACTAAGGTAAGACTACTTACGAAACCACAGAAGGCTACCCACTTTCTCTTCTGCCCTTCACAACACACACATACATAGGCACACACCCTCTATAGTCTTTAAGAGTGAAATGTTATTATAGGATCTAACTGAATTATTCTTGACATTATCTAAGTGATGGTCATTCAGGCCTCATCTCATCTCTGATGCATTCTCTAACTTGCTATACACAGTGGTTTCTGCATTGTAATGTTTCTGTTCTTACTGCTAAATTATTGGTCTCTGTTCTAGTCCCTGTTTTAGGGAGCTGATCCATTTCCTACCCTGGTCTCATTCATATGCCTCTGTTTGAAAACTTTTTTGTTTCATAGTAATTACTTCTTAGAGTAACAAAGCTACACAAAATAACTTTCATATAATTATAAAAGGACCCCTGGAAAAGTAAAACAATAAAATAAAAAGGTCAGTTTTTTTTTATTTTGGAATTGATTTAGCTTGCAAAATAGTCACTCTATTGATCTTATTTTTCTAAAATCCCAAAGGGTCTGAATTGCAGAACAAAGCTGGTCCTGGAGTTTTTACTATAAGACTCTGGCCTATAATTCAGAGTCTCATCAACATGCCATGACATAATAAATCTGACTTCATTTGTGGCCTTGATAGCACTTTAATTTCTTCATATTAGAAATGTTGCCTTTCAATTTCTTGCTTACCAGGCAAAGCTCCTGTTTGCTGACATCTGAAACATTCTGCCTCGTCAGCTGGTGACCACTGCCACCAGCCTCATGGCTATTCAGCGAGAGGCCTGCTGTATGTTTGCAATATTTTGTCTATTCTCTGGGAACTGAGTTGCAAGACCCAGGAGCAAACTTGTGAGGGAAAAAGGGAGTGGAGATGCCTGTGCCCATCTTAGACTACCCAGGCTGTCCTAACAAAATGCCACAGACTGGGTGACTTAAAGAACAGTTCTAAAGCCAGAAGTTCAGGATGAAGACATTATCAGGGACAGTGTCCGGAAAAGGCTCATTTCTTGGGTTGCAGATGGCCTTACTGTATGCTCACAGGGAACAGAGAGAGCTTTGGCCTCTCTTCCTCTGCTTACAAGAGCACCAGCTCTATCAGATTATGGCTCTATTCTTATGACCTCATTTAACTTTTATCACCTTCTCAAAAACCTTATCTCCAAATACAGTGACATTGAGGGCTAGGGCTTCAACATATGAACATAAGGGAGGAGAGGCATACAATTTGTCCCATAGAAACACCAGAGAAATAAAACAAGAGAGATGATTGAGAAAAAATAAATTATCAAAGGTAATATTTCCAGGTTTTTTTAGTTTTATTTTAAATTCAGAGTTACAAATGTAGGTTTGTTATATAGGTAAACTTGTGTCATAGGAGTTGTTGTAGAGATTATTTAATCACCCAGGTATTGAGCCTAGTATCCATTAGTTATTTTTCTGATTCTTTCCTTCCTTCCACCCTCCAGCCTCCAAAAGGCCCCAGTATGTATTGTTCCCCTCTGCATGTTCATGCGTTCTCATCATTTAGCTCCCACTTATAAATAGGAATGTATAGTATTTTTTCTGTTCCTTTGTTAGTTTGCTAAAAATAATGGCCTCCAGCTCCATCCATGTCCCTACAAAGGACATGATCTCATTCATTTTTATGGCTGCATAGCATTCCATGACATATATGTACCACATTTTCTTTATCCAGTTTATTGTTGATGGGCATTTAGGTTGATTCCACATCTTTGCTATTGTGAGTAGTTCTGCAATGAACATATGTGTGCATGTGTGTTTATAACAGAATGATTTAAATTACAGGGTATATACCCAAAGCAATATTTGAGTTTTTCTATAATACAGTAAACAAATGAGAAAGTAATGGCATAAACAAAAAAGAAATGTATGTATTCTGTAAAAAAAAAAGTAAAACAAGGCAGGTTCAGTCATTGTCAGATGAAACAGAAAGTCACGTGTTAACGTATGTCCCTCCATGGCTGAGTGTAAACTGCAAAGGGGAGTGTGCTGTATGTGAAAGGTCTGACGGCCTAGAGGTTTTTCTCTCAAGGTTTGTAGGTAGTTGTATTGCAGGTTATAACTCATTATCTGCAGTCCAGATATTGTTAAACACATGTCTTCCTAGAACTGCACAAATATCCATTCCCTCAGTCCAGATATCTCCAACTTGTTCTAAGGGCCACAGCGGCAAGGGGGCTCAGAAAAGGGAAAGAGAGAATGGGAGAAAGGGGAGGGGAAGAAAGAAAAAAAGAGAAGCAGAACCTCCATGGCCAATTTCTACTCCCAGCACTTAAACAAACTCATTTCCTGGAAGACATAGAATAGTTCAAGATTATTAACTAGTGGAAATGTGACCTTGCAGGACCAGAATACAGCTGCAGTGACAATTATTAATCATGATGAGAATGATCTATATATCCTGGCCAAAAGTCAGATATGCTTGTGCAATTTAAAACTATGTCTACAAAATCTTTGATTCTTCTCTGAAAGGTGAGGGAGGTCTCATTTCTCTTCCCTTGAATGGAAACTGTGGTTGGTGATTTGATTTTAATAAATAGATTGTGGTAGAAGTGACAGTAAATGGCTTCCAGGCCTAGATCATACAAGGCATTGTGGCTCCCTTGAACTTTCTTCAGATCATCCTCCCTGGGAAGACCCAGCTGTCATGCTAACAGGACACACCAACAACCCTAAGAAGAGTGATCCTGAGGAACTAAGACCTCCTGCCAAACGCCAGCAAGAAACTGAAGTGTGCTACTGACAGTCCTGTGAGTGAGGCATCTTGGAAGCAGATCTTCCCATCCCCATTTATTCTTCAGATTATCTTAACTGTGCCCTCATGAAAGACCCACTTAAACTGTTCCTGAATCCCTCATCTACAGAAACTGAGACCACAATTTTTTGTTGTTTTAAGCTTCTAAGTTTAAACTGCTAAATTTACTAAATGAAAGAGTAGATATTTGTTATTTTAAGCTGTAGTGATATCTAATATATATAACAAATTTTATATATATATTAGTCATATGCCTGAGTCTGTTCAGGCTTCAGTGACAAAATACAATAAACTAGGTAGATTACAAACAACAGAAATTTATTTCTTATAGTTCTTGAGGCTGAAAGTTCAAGGCACCAGCAGATTGGGTGTCTAGTGAGGTTCTTGGTTCCCAGAATGGCAGCTTCTTGATGTATCATTATATGGTGGAATGGGAGAAGACAGGTCTCTGAGGCATGTTATGTAGGGGCACTAATCCCATTAATGAGGGCTCCACTTTCACAGTCTAAGCACTTCCCAAAGGTCTCATCTTTTAATACCATCACATTGGTAGTTAGGATTCAACATATGAATTTTGGAGATACACATTCAATTCATAACAACATTTAATATATCTAATAACTAATATAGAGTATATATTTAGTAATATAAAATATCTAATAACTAATATAATAGCTAATATTTAAAAGAAGGAAAATTAATTGTATACTGAATAGTAAAGCAATGATCAGGTTTCATTTGTGTTTCTATTATCAGCTCCACACATGTATTTAACTGAATCAATCTGCTTTCATCCCAGTCAATGGTGCCTGTCAGTGGATGAAAATATGACTAAATTTAACATATCCTTGAAACTTATGCCTTTGATTTTTGTAACAGAAACTTTAGCTCAGTAAATGAGAATCAAGCCACAGTGTAAACAAATTAAAATTCCTAGTAGGAAAAAATTATTTTCTCCTGTTCAAATTCTTTTATTACTTATAAAACAAGCCTGTCTTCAGTTTTCAACAACCCAATTTATATGATCTTTAGATCAAGGATAACTACATTAGTATAGTAACTAACTTCACATTAGGACATATTTGGAATTATAAAAAGAATAACTAGGAATTGGCTTCATATGAACCATGATTGAAATAGACTGATAGGTTCCAAATATGTAAGACCAAGAATATTTTTCTAGTAAAACAATATAGAGAAAAAATGATCAATTCAAAGCAGTTCCTTGCCTCACCAGCAGATAATCCCCTAGGATACTTCAGTAATATAGGGACCTGTAACATAATCATTTGTCTACTCCCTTACAAAAGTTTTAAAAAGGTCTGGCATCATTAGATCTGTTTGGTTGGTCTCAACAGTTAAAAGCCCTAGATTAGAAATTCTTGAGCAGTTAGATGAGCAAAGCCCTGTTCTAAGGGCTAATCTAGTAAGAAGTTTAACATATTACCTGATTTTTTTTTTTTAGAAATATTGAAATATATTGCTCCCTTTTGCCTTTTAAGGAGCATTAAATGCTAACTTGAGCTATTGAAGCTTTCCAGGCATCTTTTTCATACGTGACTAAGTCTAAGGTTAAATGTCCAAAGGCCAGATCATTTATCAGGCTGTTCTCCAGGAAGAAAGCTGGCAGAAACAAAGAGCATTGTGGGTAAACTATGAAGATGGCAAGAAAAGCAGGCAAGGAGATTGTTGTTTAAGATAGTGTTTCCAAATCCTGCCACTGCCAATCTACAACCAAGTATTCCCTGAACCACGGTCAAGTAAAAAGCATAAGGTAGACAGTTGCTTTTATAAGTAGAAAAATCTATTCTATTGTTTTAATATAGTGTTTTCATATGAATTTTTAATCTCTTCTATTTGTTAGGGTGTTACAATATCCTTTGGTATACAAAATGATAATTTTACTTGTGTGTTTTTCAAGTGTTCTTAGTGTGTAAAATAAAGTATAACAGCCTTTTGTGCTGCTACCTCATAAAATCTTAGAGATGATTAGTCAGATCCATGAGTCTGCAGATGATTAGCTGGTACTGAAAATTATGAATGAGCGTGTATTTGTTTCTTCTCAACCTGCTATGAAGAAATACTCAAGACTGAATAATTTATAATTGAAAGAGATATAATTGACTCACAGTTACGCTTTGCTGGGAGGCCTCAGAAACTTACAATCATGACAGAAGGCAAAGGAAAAGCAGGCACCATCTTCACAGGGTAGCAGGACAGTGTGAGTGCAAGCAGGGGGAATACTAGATGCTTATAAAACCATCAGATTTCATGATAACTCATGAAACTGCCCCCATGATCCAATTGCCTCCACCTGGTCCTGCCCTTGACACACGGGGATTATAGGGATTATAATTCAAGGTAAGATTTGCTTGGGGACACAGAGTAAAAGCATATCAGAATGAATGAATGAATGAATGAAGCAGTCCATTAACCAGTGAATGAATGAAAGCAAAAATGGTGATACGGAGTTGCTGGGAGCTAAGGGTGGGATCAGTCTTGGGTGGACAGAGGAAACTATAATTATCAGAGCCCTCTTTGGAATAAGGTGTTGTGAAGCATCACTAAGGACATAATTTGCCTCTATAAGCTTTACCAAAGACACTAGTCTTATGATATGTAAACTACATTTATCTGATTCCAAGCGTCACTCATCTGACCTGAAACAAGGCATTTGGAAATTAAATCTGGGGTTATGAATTCTAGGGATACAAAACAGAAGCAGTCTTCAGAGCCTTCCAGACCACTTACTTTCACACACTTTGAGAATACATTATGCAACATTCCAAAAGGTATTCAGTATAATTTTTCAAGTCACTCCACCCAAAAAGAACCTCCTGTTAGTTAATCCCCTTTGTGGCTTCTTTCAGAAACTTTAAGCAGAAGCAGCATTTCCATGAAGCACTTCAAAACAGTCAGGGCACTGATAATACTAAGAAGAAGAAGCTAACAGTTATTGAATGCTTACTAAATATAGGGCACTTTTCTAAGCACTTTCTATGTATTGAGACATTTAATCAATCATCCTAACAACCCTATAAGAAAAGTTTTAGTTACTAACTTTAGACTTTTATTACAGCACCAGACTATCAGATTATATATTTTTTTTTTCTTTTATGTACTGTTCACACAATGAGGTTTATCTGATTTCTCCTCTAAATTTCAAAGCTGTTCTCACATTAACCCTTTTTTTAAAATTTAGCTCATCCTCGTCTCTGGGACA